ATTTGAACACTGAATGGGTCACTGCAAGCCGTGAACAGGTACTTGGTACAGCCTTGATATTTTAATCATTTTATTATCTGTGTATGAGCTATACACATATTCAATTGCATCAAAAACAACCATTTCCTTCAGGGTGCTTCGATGTTTTTGCAAAATAGTGTAATAAGCAAAACTGAAGTATTTTTACAGCAGCTAAGACAATAAAGCTTTTCAGATTTATTCATGCTACTGCATCTTCCATTCTTCAACTTTAAAAGCTGTTAAATTCTTGTTTTCACTCTAATAGATTTAGAACATTTATTTTGAACACCTGCCCTGAAACTAACAAATTCTTGTTGCTAAAAAATCACAATGGAATGATTGTTCTGAAGGTATGATTAAGAGATGCTGCTGTCTTATATTGTTAGCTTTTGTAAGGTTGACAGAGTGAAGTGCATGTTATTTACATGAGTGACTTTTACTTCCATATGACAGATCTGGCTTATATAGGGTATTTAAGAAGTCACTGTTCATTTTAGTAAATAAGATAAATTGTTGGGACAAGTTAAATTGCATTAATGGATTTGAAATTTTTGGTGTAATTAATTCATTCTGACATGACCTTTTATGGAAGGTAAAACTTAATACTTTCTACATGGTGCACACACTATGCTAAATTTACTTCCATATTAAGACAGCATAGAGATGAAAGTCAGGCTATGCTGCTGAACATTGCATGGTATCTACAGACACTGTTGGCTTGTCTGAATTTTTTCATCTGATATACTGTTACGAGGAATTTATTAAGAATTAACCAAATATTGCCCTTGTTGTAGCAAAAGCACCTTAAATTTATGTTTGAATGTCTTCCTCTAAAAATTCATAGAACAGCTGTTCTCCCCTCTATTTTTAGCATCTACAAACAGGTCTTATAAGTATATATAGAACAGAAATGAGAAATTACAATCTAAATGCAATACAATGGATTTTATAGATATATTTATTGATAGTATGCATGGTTGAATTGATTTAAGTCTGCCTACAGTCAGAAGGGGTGAAAGTGCTGGTCAAGCCTCTTCCACACATGAATTCTCCAGTTATCTTGAGTGAAGCAAAAATTGTTACTGAATAAGATACAGCTATCTAACATATTATAAAACTTTGCATCCACAACAACATACTAAGCATTACTGTTGACACTGAGAGCTAGTGGTAGTTGTCTCTTCCTGTCTTTTTGCAACAGTGACACCACATATATCTGAGATTACCTTCAACAGGATCCTTCTGAGATTAAGCCTGCCACTGCCCTTTGGGTTAGTATGTCTTTTGGAACCACTAATAACACACTATCTGACAAGCATCAATTCAAGCCTTATGTTGAGCGATCTGTACAAACAGCAGCCTACTTCGTTGAAGGCAGTGATGTAACAGAGGTTGTAAACAGCAGAGGATCACAACTATATGTTGTGATATTTAGGGATTCTTATTAGTTAACACAAATAATGCACTAATCCATAAACAGTCTGAGTGATACGGCAGCTAAGAAATTTTAGAACCACTCCTTTTTTACTGGCCTTTTTCATGTCCTATCATTTCCATGTTAAATTTCGAGACTATTGTAAAATTTGTTTAAGAAATTTTTCGACATACAGTGTAGCAGCAAATACCTGAATGTTTCTGGATAGACCCCTTTTCTAGAAGCACTTCGAAGAAACTGGGAGTTGCTCTCAGTCAAAATTGAAAGGTGATTTAGGCAGATAGCCTTAACGTGCTTTGTCTAAATTAAATAATGCCATTCAATCTCAGAAGTTAGAACTAGAAACTCAGGACAGTGATGCTGAAAGGCTACTATGAGTCTGGAAGACCTTAGTGTTTTGATCTGTCTACTAGCCTCAGCACAGAGTCAAAGACCAGTCAAATGCTCCAAACTAATACTTAATATCTGCTCGTGATATTGTAGATAACTATTAAATCCAAATGCAAACATAAACATTACTACAATGTAAACAGAAATTTCACTCTCAATGGCCACAACCTGAAACTGGAATCTACCACAAAAATTCTAAATAACAATTTCTTAAATCTGTTATTTATCTTAATCAGTATTACCAGCTTCAGTTGACATTTCATATATTTTCAGATATTTTGAAAACTTTTAGATTGCTTTTTTAAAAATATGTAATGTAAAATCCTCTTATTCTCGAATTTGTATAATAATATATAATATCTTACAATTTCATGAGTATCATGAAAACTACACTTGTTGTTTTCAGTGAATTATATACCTTGTTTAATTAGCATACATGAATATATACGTGCTTTGTCTAAATTAAATAATGCCATTCAATCTCAGAAGTTAGAACTAGAAACTCAGGACAGTGATGCTGAAAGGCTACTATGAGTCTGGAAGACCTTAGTGTTTTGATCTGTCTACTAGCCTCAGCACAGAGTCAAAGACAAGTCAAATGCTCCAGACTAATACTTAATATCTGCTCATGATATTGTAGATAACTATTAAATCCAAATGTAAACATAAACATTACTACAATGTAAACAGAAATTTCACTCTCAATGGTCACAACCTGAAACTGGAATCTACCACAAATTCTAAATAACAATTTCTTAAATTTTATTTATCTTAGCAGTATTACACTTCAGTTACATTCATATATTTTCGATATTTGAAAACTTTTAGATTGCTTTTTAAAAATTGTAATGAAATCCTTATTCTCGAATTTTATAATAATATATAATATCTTACAATTTCATGATTATCATGAAAACTACACTTGGTGTTTTCAGTGAATTATATACCTTGTTTAATTAGCATACATGAATATATAAACTAATAATTATTTGAATGAGTAAGGGTGTGTTTTTCAGAATAAATGGGAAACGTGCTTTCATGATGAATTATGTATTTTATTTATAACAATCTAAAATAATTGTGCTTTTTCTCCATGGCCACAAAGTTTGCCAGAATCCAAATGCCATTACGTATCAAACTTCATTAAGAAATATGGAAATTGTAAAATAATAAAGATAAGTATTTTTTTTCTATATGTGTCAAAGTAAAACATTTAATGAATAAAAGAGAATATGTTTTCACAGTTTATTCTCAAATTTTGTTTCACTTTTGAAAGCTTTTCCAAAAAACATGGAAGTTTTCATAATTTTTTTTTATTTTAGTTTAAATTAAAATCCAAGGTGCTTAGTAGTTAAATCGCTGAATTAAACACTAAAAAACTTGAATTGCTTGAAATTAATATTGGCCTGAAACTCAATTTTTAGCTGTTGCTTATTAATTTATGTATTTTTGAGTTATGAAAGATATCAAAAACTAGATGCTATATAAAAGGAAGTTTACGAGTTTCATATGTGTGAGAATGGTAAATTGATAAATTTCATTTAATTCTTTAATTCAGTTGTTAACTGTTATTAGTGCTCATGTATATTTCGATAAATATTTAGTAATAAAAGTTTAATTTCAAAATATATTATTAATAAAAAAATTAGCTGTTTTCAGATTGCCTTTTTAGCCTGCATTTTAATTTGTATTTAAGACCACTGCTCTATTACTCCCCATACCGATTTAATAGTGTTAAGGTAGAGTATTAAATACAGTGTTCTACTTAACTTAATGTCTTTTAAATGACTTTGTTCAGCAGCATGAACTTGTACACTGACATTTTGACACATAGCAGATGCATCCTTCAGGATTCAGTTTATACAAATAGGTGGACTTAACCAATCAACAGTTCCTGATGAAGAAAGCATCACAGACAATTAGTGTTCTTGGACATTTATGGCTTATCTTTTCATATACACTCTCCTAGAAAAGGAAAAGATGAAGGTGAATTCATTGGCAAACACTATATATTTTGGATTCTGTACTATCCAAATTTTATGCTTCTGACACCAGCATTTCATGCAGATCATTAGTTTCGCTATAGCTCTCTCATTACGAATATAAACTCAGTGAAGCTCTCAACAGACAGCTTTTATAAAAATGGGCAAATTTGAGAATACTTAAGTTCTGCTCAGCAATCAGTGTAGCCCCAATATATGAAAAGGACTTCTTGTCCTGGTAAGAGATGCATCAACAATTTGTCTCCTTGAACTCTGATATATACTGTAACTCCTCATGTTTGATGTTAGGCCACCCAAATGGTATAGTGGTTAGGGGAACCGACTGTGATAATGAAGGGCCGAGGTTCGAATGCCGGAGAAGGCATGAATGTAAACTGTCTGTCCGTCATAGGAGGTAACGCTTGCCACTTATTACGTGCCTCCACAATAAAATGGACACCACTTCCAGCCTTGAGTGGCCAATGCTTAGATAAGTGTCCGCCATTCAATGAAAATTTTTTTGATGGTAATATCTCCAATACAAATGAAAATCAAATTTCACACTTTAGTGCTGCTAATAAAAATCAAAATTATTCAAGGTTCACAGGCAAAAATGCATACACTAGCTTTAAGTATGGAGTGCCACATTCACCAAGTGTTTCAATTCCACTAACACAATTCGCCAGGCAACAACAGTCGTAGTGTAGTCTGTATTCTTCGGCTTGTGATGGTGCTCTTCCTATTGTAATGAACTAAACAAGAAGATTCTGCTGCAGTTCTTTCAAAGATGTCATTAACGACCAAATTTATGCTGGTCATTGCCTTGCTCGAAATACCAGTGTCAGGTGAACTTGTTTCAGAACTTCGTAGATGTAAATAGTAAAAGATTCCTCTTCCACTTTTTCTTGTGACCAGCTCAAACAGTTTTCTGGGCCTTTCCGCCCCCCATAAGGTCCACAGCACTTTTAGAGAAGACACGATGATATACAATTTTCAATTTAACCAGTGTAAGATGTAGATCTATGTATCTATATATATAGATATCTATAGAATATATAGATATATCTCTCTCTCTATATATATTCTATCTAGCTATCTATCTATATATTCAGATTTAATGTGAAATATAAATTTTGGGCTCAAATCCTTTTATCTCCACATAAAAAAATACATAAGGTAACAACACTTTATTGCTCCAAAATAAAGCAATTTGTTATAAACATGAATGTTTGTTGTCAAGAAATATACAATAGAAAATCGCAGTTAGCACACAGTGAAACTGAAATTTCATATATTTTCATGGCAATTACATAAGTTTGTATTAATATACATAAGAACATTCACCTCAATATCAAAAAAGAAAACAAACTTTACATATCCAAAAGTTTTACAGAAGCAAATATATGAAATAAACCATATTAAAACAAACACCTTCGGATCATAAAGTCAGGAAGTCAATATTTATTCCAATGAAAAAGCTCTGGTCCAATGCGCTTGCTGATATAGAACCTGGAAAGATTAAACTATTTTATGCTCGAGAAATTAAACACACAAGCAAACATCTTTTAAGCTTTTCCCATGTAAATTGCTGAAAAGTACACCATTTTAACCTTTAGTCACTGATTTTCTAGGAAAATATTTTCTCTATTCACTTAAAAGTACAAAAATGTATTTTGCAAGTAAGTATGTCTACAGAAGGATGCTAATAACAGTAAATTAGTTTACTTTTGATTACTTTATTGTATGTATAGTTTGCAGTCTGGAACTGCCAAAACAATTTTCACATATTTTTACTTTTTTCATTTATTGCAGTCCCTTAAAAATGGAAACACCTAATTTTATTACATTTTCCTCAGAAATAAATGATTATTATGAAAACTTATCATATTTCCTTTACAAAAGATCAGAAAGATGTCTCCAGAGTCAATGTTGAGGCCAGATGCCATCAAGAAGGTATCTTATCTCAGAATACTCCAATACTGAAGCAAAAATTGTTTTGGTTAATCAAGTATCTGCCATTTTGGTCAGAGTTTAAGAAGATACATGAAGGTACAGAATTATATGGTTGAGACAAGTTTCAATATTTGCTCCAATTTGTAGAATCTGGAAGCCAAGCTAGACAGTGATTAGGAAGTTACCCAATAACTTAGGAAAAATATTGTCTTTGCCAGCTTTTCAAGAGCATTATGGGGGTGAAGATATTGTTATCGAAGTATATGTCAAGGAATTTTTGAAATTAACAACAGCAAACATTAAAGATAAGGGTAATGACAGATTATCAGTATGTGACTTGTTTACTAAAGTAGAAGTACATTTAAGATAACTAGGGGAATCCATGGGCTTAATGCAGAATGTAATTCAGCCTGGCTATACCCAAATCCTACTTACCTGATGATATTTTAAGAGCATGGCAAAGATACAATGTTGGGGTAAAGGAAGATCTGCTAGTCTCACAAAGTTGAATTTGACATTATTAATGAACTTTCTGAAGCAGGAGGTCGTGGGTGAAGAAAGATTACATTTAGTCAGGTCAGGCTTTGAAAGTATTACCCCAAAAGATAAAGAAAAAATTCAGAAAAGGGATTACAAGTGGCCTACTGCTGCTTCACTCTCCCACCCAAAGAAATTTTATGTGTGTTCTGTGGTAAGTTGCATAAAATTAAAGACTGCATAACACCAGATCATTCTCCCTTGAACAACAAATAAAAGAAGTTAGAGACAAGAAATGTTTATGCTTCAGCATCTATACCAAAATGTGTATAACTTTTGTACGTTGTAATGTCTTCTCAAAACTTCACACAGATCTATTGTGTCCTGAAATAGCAAAAACAAAAGGAACCAGTAATAAAAGCAAACCCTCAGCAAATGTCCAGAATAAACTTGTAAATCAAAAATGTTCAAATGAAGTAGCACTCATGAGAAATATTAATTAGCTCTAAAAATATTGAGGGAAATAAGAAAATTCAGAGTGCTGCTGGACAGTGGGTCCCAAGAATTACATTTTGAAGAGTTACCATGAAGGATCTTGATCTTAGGACTCTCTATATAGAAACTATTACTCACGTGGTATTTGGAGGTGCACAAACAGAAGCTAAACCTCATAGTAAATATAAACTGGGTACACCTGGTAATGATCCTAAATCAATTATCACAGGCAAATTCCTTGACCAGGAAAACATATGTGCGAAAAATCCCTCACATTCCAAAGGGGTCTTTACTAGAAGAACTTAAGACAAAGACTGTGGATATCATATATTGCGACGGGGAATCCAAAAACAGAAATTTTAACTGGCAATGACATTTATGGCAGGTTCTTAATGAGTGGAAACAGGTAGCTAAATCATTGTCTAACGCCAATTTCGACATAGCTTGGATGAACAATTTGCAGTGAGTCAGAGGATCACCCCCAGGTTGTTTGAGTAGTTTTACAGCTACGTTAATGACCAATTTATCTTTGACAGAAATAGCCATTTCAGATTTGTGGTGGCTAGAAACAATAGGATTTAATGATCATGCTCAAAATGTTGTCCAAACCAGCTAGCCTATAACATGTTCCGTGAAGAATTTACTAGAAGTGAGGACAAGCATTACTGTGTCGGTTTTCAATGGATTTGTATTAACCCAAACATCCCCTCAAATAGAAATGAAGCAGAAAGAAGGTTGTTAAGCACTATTAGAAGAAAGAATACAAATAAATTTGCAGATTATGACCTAGTCTTTAAGCCTGAGAGTGCCACTATTTTTATAAAGTCAGTTTTTGACGCATCATGCAAAGTTAGAAGAGAACCACCCCTAAACATCTCTCTCTTCAAAGTGCCTAAATGAATAGAAGAAATTCTGGCTATATTATTGAGATTTTAAGAAAAGGCAACTGCTGTTGTATCCGATGCTAGAAGAGCCTTTGTCCAAACTGAAGTTAAAGAAGACTGTCAGCATAGGAAGTCTATCAGCATTCCAGCGGTGTTAGGAGACACCTGTACCTCATTTCTACTTAATGCAGAGTACCATTTGAACAAGTATCCAAAATGAAGAATAATTACTGACAAAGTTTTGAAGTCCTATACTGACAACTGCATAGTGCATCTGAATTAGAAGAATTTATCTCAACGTCAAAAGAAATTATGGCAGTTTGGTACTGCAGAAGAAATGGAAAAGTTGTGATTTGAGAATAGAAGTTTATTTGAAGGAAATTTACAACACCAGTGTCAGTTTTAGGGATTAGATGGGATAGAAGAGAGTATTGTTTAATGATGTACAATAAATGTGACACAGAAATATAAAATCCTACAAAACAACAGATTTTATAAACTCAAGGTATTTAAGATACCAGCACTGTTGCCAGCCAAGCTAATGATTCAAGAGGCGTGGTCAATTAAGTCAAAACTGGATTCTCTATTTCCAGAGAAGATTCATAAGAACTTCTGGAAACAGGACAGTGAACTTAAACCAACTTAAAGATTGGCAAATGTACAGGTTATGGAAGCAATGAAAAATAGTCCACACGTGTTTTTTGTGACACATGTCAAAGTGCATATGCTGTGAAGATGATAGTAGAATTTCAGTAGAGCTTCTAGACGCAAACTCATGAGTCACTTCAAAAAAGACTTGACAACCCACAACTTGAAATTCTTGTTTGTGTTTTGAGAGCCAGATTAGGAATTTATATTCATGAGGTTTTGGATGTCCCTAGAGTACCAGTTTATTAGACAGTTATAGCATGGACACAAAGAAGTGACCAATGGTGTAATTTAATGAGTAACAGAATAAGAGAGATATGCAAACTCACAACATACCATTGGTGTTATTTTTTCCAAGGGGAATCTCAAGTCAACTGAACTGCCATCTTGTGGTTGTAGCCCTAAATATCTTACCCTGACAGGATGGTGAGAGAGACCAAAATAGTTAAAGGAAGAAGAAAATAACTTGTCCCAGTAGAAACAGGTTCCCAAGAAAGATTTAGGTACAACAGAAAGAAAACTGCAGTATCATTATTTACTTGTATAAAAGTAGACCAATTCATAAATTATGAAAGAATTTCAAAATTTTGTATATTTGTAAATATCATTTGATGGATAAAAATATTTATTTCAAGCTGTAGAAACAGAAATTATGTTTTTCTATCTAAACGTTTTGCTGAAGAAAAGAGAGGCAAAGAAGTTTCTTTAGTCAAGAATACAGTTAGAAAGCTTTGGCTGTGTTTCAAATACTGTTATAGGAATCATTGTTATGAAAGATAAAAATGTATTGATGAAAGAAAAAATGATACGATGAAAGAAAGCCCAATATTTCCAGGAGACCTGTTACAAGAAGCCAGACCAGATCGCAGCGGGACGCTGCTTCTTTCCTAAGAAGGGGAAATGTAGCAAAAATCGCTCTTTTCGACCGAGCTCCTCATAGCTTAGCGGAGAAGGCGCAGGACTCGAAACCCGAAAGTACCGGGTTCGAAACCCATCAACGGCAAGATGCCTGATAATTGGTTTTTATGTAAATATCCTTGTTGTTAAGGTTAACTTATTTATGTAAATTTCCTTCTTATTCTTCCAGAACATTCCAAGTCTGGAATGTTTCAGCATGTTCACCAGTTGTATATAAGTAGCTCTTCATTCAGTTCTAGTTCATAAAAAGTCTTGAGTTTAGAATTGTACTTGCCTGTTCATTTGTAGGATTCCCTCATCTACGCGACAGTTTGGTGGAGGCGCCGGGTATTTCTCAGTTACTACGGCAGAGTTACGCCGAAGCCTGCGGATTCGAGGACTTCCTCCTGAGTTCGGGCTCTTACAGGATTCGCGTAAAAGATCGAGAAAGATGGTTGATGAGAAGGAAGAGCAGAATTCTCCAGCAGCCAGTTCCACTTCACGTAATATCGCACCAATACCGATCCTGACGTACCAAATACCCAGAAGCCCGTGTATATTCAGCGTGGATAGCCAAGAAGATACTAATAGATGGCTCAAGGACTTTGATCGAATCGCCAACTATAACCACTGGGATGATCAAATGTGTCTGGCGAACATCATTTTTTATCTTGGCAGAACCGCTCGACAGTGGTTCGATAATAATGAAGATACATTCACCAGTTGGACTGTTTTCAGGACTGCTCTTAAGAACACCTTTTCCCGAGCAGCTGATGTAAAGCGCCAAGCTGAACGAGTACTACTCACACGCGCTCAGCAAATCGATGAGACGTCTGAAGCATACATTCAAGATGTTCTCGCTCTCTGCCGGAAAGCAAACCCATCTATGTCTGAAGACAAAAAAGTAAATGAAAGTCTCATGAAAGGTATTGCTGAAGATTTGTACCAGGTCCTGTCGTTCCAGGACTATGACAGTGTCGATGCCTTCGTGAAACTCTGCCATCACATAGAAAGCCTTCGACGAAGACGTATCGCCTGATCACGATTCCAAAGGCTGCCTAATATCTCTGCGGTGTCGGCCGATGCGGATGCCAGTGAACTAAGGTCTATAGTGCGCACCATCATCAGGGAAGAGCTTTAGAAGGTCCTTATGCA